GGGGTCTTGATTCTATTCCATTGGTCTACGTCTCTGACCTTTTGCCTGTGCCACCATGTTTTGATTACTTGTAGTTTTGAAATCAAGAAGTATGAGTCTCGTTCTGAGATTTTTTGGCTATTGAGGTCCCTTGAAATTCTATATTAATTTTGGGATGAAATTTTTCTGGAAAAAGAAATGTCATTGGGATTGTAATAAGAATTACATTGAATCTGTAGTTCACTCTGGGTAGTATTGTGTGTGATATTAACAATAGTGTCTTCTAATCCATGAACGCAGGATGTCTTTAATTTCTTGTAGCAATGTTTTGTAGTTTTCAGTGTACAAGTCTTATGCCGCATTGATTGAATTTATCCCTTAAATATTACATATTATTTGAGATTGTAGATAGAATAGTTTTCTTAATTCAAGTTTTTTTGTTGCTAGTATGTAGAAATACAAATTATTTTTACATGTTGATTTTGTATCCTACAATTTTGCTGTTTATTAGCTCTAACTTTTTTTTTGGTAGATGCTTTGAGGTTTTTACATGTATGACATCATCTGTAAATATAGTTTTATTTCTTCCTTTCTGATTTGGATGCCTTTTATTTCTTTTCACCCTCTCTTTTTTTCTCCCCCTCTGGCTAGGACTTTCAGTACTATGCTGAATAGAAATGGCAACAGAGGGTATCCTTATCTTGTTCCTACTGTTAGGGGGAAAGCTTTCAACCACTGAGTATGATGCTAGTTGTGGTTAAAAGAATAAATGGTAGTTTTCCCCCTCCATCTCAATATAGAACAATTGATAGAACTTATGATTTAAAAGATGAGGCGACATTTCTTAAACCCATTCCTTTCTCTCCAATTCAATTTCAGTAATTACATTTTTTCCTTAAATATCTGCTTAAAGCAGATTATAAATGCATAGCATGTTTTGACATACCACATTTAATGCTAGATGACAAGGTTCATTTTCTAACGTGTACCATATGGAAAAGTGAAATTTGGATTATACCAAGTAAATGGAAATAAAACGACCCACTTGCCTCCTCACACCTTTTATCACAAAGTATTTATTGAACAAAAATAATGTAACAGTAAAAATGATACATATATGAAAGTGAATGAAGATTTGCAGGTGTGTACAAAGAGACCAATGTTTAGATTATAGTTCTATAAAACTTCAGCTGTAGCAGTTTAACACTGATCAATCAAGCAGACATATAAAAAGGGAGAAAAAATTTAAGTTCTGTGAAACCTATTTTCTGACTAAAATAGTTTAAAAAAAAAAAACAAACAACAAACACCACATAGACACACACCACACAGAATGAGGCAGAACTATNCAAAACACAACAACAAACACCACATAGACACACACCACACAGAATGAGGCAGAACTATAAGGGTTATACTTCAATACCTCTAGTTCTCTATTTGTGTTATAGTGAGTTTTTCAATCCATCAAAAATTATGGTATTTTTCCATTTCTAGTAAATGGAGCTAGATTACATGTTAATCATAGTATTTGGAGGAGGGGAATACAAGAATCAGATATGTAATCATTTGAATATTTCTAATCAGTATTTCCATACTGATATATAAAAACATTTAAAAATATTTTTGGTTGAGATATTTGTACATTAACTTCCCTTTTAGTTAGTTTCTCTAAGAACCTTGCATTTGGAGTGTGTTCTCTTATCTGACCATATTTTTAATGCTCTTTATCTGTTTTTTACCTAACATACAGTCTTGGACTAGTTACTTATAGCTAAGCATGGGGAAGCAGAGCTGGACTGAGCACCTTCAGTGAGCTGTGTGGCCTCAGGCAACTTCCAGCTTCTCCTCTGCAGTTGTCCTTAACTGGAAACCGGGGTGTGGAACATATTCTCAAAGGCCCTTTCTAGCTCTTAACGGTTTATGTTTGGTAAGTATCAGCTGGACCAGCTATTTTAGTACAGAATTATTCTTTGCCCATGACACTAGTGTCTGTGGATTCTGGAATCAGCCCCATTATTTTATATTCAAAGATGCACATTGGAATGTTTGGATTTTTCCTCCAGATAAGGGCATATATCCATCCCCTCACACACAGATGCTCAATTCCAATTGGCAATCTCAATCAACATCTGTGTCATTAGCAAAACTTTAGATTTTTTTGAAAATTCAAGAAATATTTGTGTTTTTATAAGCTTTGTTTTTTATCCCTGCTATTTAATGCCTGGTTTGGATCAATCAATCATTTAGCCACATTTCGAATTGGTTTCTCTTACTTACAGTTAAGGATGATAATTAACCTGATCTTGAATTAAAAGCACTGGGCACTTTCTAGTTCTTTTACCATTAGAACTTTCATAATGTACAGATGTCTCAGAGTGGTGCCTGCTGATTTTTTGAAGGAACAGAAAATATGTTCCTATTATCACTGCTCTAAAACTACACTACACAAAAGAATTTACTGCTGAGTGTTCCAAATTGTTATGTAACCAGTTCAGTTCAACCATGATAAGGTTTCTGAAGAATTTTGTATTTGTTATATCAGATTTCCTTCATTCTCACCCTAAATTTAGCAATAACCTCTCAATTTTCACAAGCAAGGCTATACCTAAAGATGCCTGATGTTACAAAATTGTTTCTTTGTTATTTGTTTTCATCACCAGTCTGTGATCCTCTTCCAAAGCACAGAATTTTTAAATGTCAACAATAGTTCCAGGGGTTCAGAGAAAGAAACCTTAACTAACTCATAATATACAGGAATGTATTGGAGGGGTGTGATCCTCTATGGAAAACAGGGAGAACCAGGGCTAATTTCTTGAAATAAGAATATGCTAACCTAGGAAATATTCCAGGGATATGGATAGAATAAACTTTTCTATCCAATAGCTTTTCCATCCCAGGTTTTTGGTTTGGGAGGAGTCTAAAAGATTGTAAACAGTTGAGAGGCTAGCCTTTCAAGGTTCCTTTTTTAAAAATGCACTTTCGAACATTTTCTTTTATGAATGTTTATTGTCTAAATATGGCTTAGTTTCTTCTTATAAAAACATTACATTTATTGAATTTAAGTTCAAAAGAGGTTCTAAGGCAATTCTTATAATTGAAAGCAAAAGAAAAAGTAATATGAATATGCTTTCATATTGCCTACTTGTGAAAAATAAGGAAATTCTACTAGAGAGCTGTTTGATACTAATTTTTGTCTTTCAAACATTTTCTCTTAATACTAAAAAATATATAAATCATTTACATAAAACTAAATGCAAAGGAAGGCACAGCTGGTTATAGTGTATATAAGCACAGTTCAGCATATGCAGAATTAAAGAGAAAAAAGCTTCACATCCTTATTAGTTACACTGAAAACCATTAAGACAAGTTCTTCACTGTCAACAGTGTTCAACACTTAAGAGCTAAGAGGATATAAAACCAAAAACATTAAAATTCACTTAATGCAAAACAGATTTTCATATATACTTGAATATAAAAAAAAAAAGTTTTAAAAATGCTAACATATATCTAGACCATCCATGTTATGAAAAGTGCAAACCAAATTAACAGGGTTTCACAAAGTCCTTCTCATGACACAGGTAAACTAGCCCATGTGGACAAATTTGCTTCATCAGTTAATGAGTCTTTAATTGTGGCCAGATGTCATCAGGACTTCTGAGAGTTCGAAGAAAGCAGTACTGGAGAAGCAGCTCTGTCCAGACTGGGGATTGGCACTGGCATGTGGCCATTAAGCAGTGTTGGGAACTGTAGGGGACAAGAGATTTTTAAAACAATTATTGCAAATCTATTGGGAAGAACATGAGTTCTTTACACTCCTAGATACACTACAATGGCTCAGTTTTGTCACCACTACTGTGATACAGGTTGAGTTGCAAATTATTTTACAGAATGAGTAATTAGATGACAGTGAGGTCAGGAAAAGTACAGCAGACAGAGGGGCCCAGAAAATGTCCCTCATTATTTTATATGCCTAGGCTACTAGGAAAAAATACGTACTTTATATGTTGCTAAAGTATGTTCTGCCACTATTTTTTAAAAAGATACCAAGCTATATAGAAGGCTGATTTGTTTCAATATTAAGAAAAAAATTAATTTTGAAAACCACAACTGACTCTTTACATGTCAATCAGTAATTTCTAATGCTGGCATTTGAAATTAGCCATCAATTTCCCAGAGTGCTACAAAAATGCTTCCCAGTAACTTAAAAATGAAGAGTGTTTTTATCTTAAAAGGTTTAAAGAGCAAGACTGTCTTTATTTGGGGGCTGAAAAAGTGTTCTTTCTAATTAAAAGGATAATATCAAACTTCACAGAGAGGTCACCCGTACAAGAGGAAACTTAATAAAGCCAGTGTCAGTGTTGTTGGTAACTAAGATGATAAATAAAAGATACATGCTTTAATAACTTTCAGGTCTGAAGGAAGTACAGCAGCTCTACTGCAGCTGAACAAAAGGGATGAAAGGCCTCAACTAGATTTTCATTGTCTGGGACGATATGTATCAGGAATGATCTCCTGGGTTCTGTTCTAGTTTAATTTATCTGGACAAAACAGGAATTAAATATTAACATATTAAACTTCAACACTAAATTTCAAACTACAGCGTCCAGTACATGTTAGAAATACAATAAATATTTGTAGAACAAGTAAATATATTTTTGTAATTTTCAAGCTATTTTAGTAACTTACGTGTCTGGTGCCTTGCAGTTTATCAGTGCTTGTCATTTCATTTGATATCTAGAGCCTGTAAGCTAAGTTTGGTTTTCCCCATTTTATAGCGAAAACAAGAGTTCAAATAAGTTTGAGATTGTTTAAAGGTCGTAGCTAATAAGCAGTAATGCCAAGTTTTAAACCACTTTCTGTGCCAAACCACCCCATTTATTTTTTGCAGGTCTTTGGGAGAGGGGTGTTCTTCAATTACTGTTTCAGTTTAATGGTTATTGGCATATTCTAGATTTTTGTTTTCTGACACTTCGGAATTTTAGGTTTTTTAATAGAATTTTATCCATTTCAACTGGGTTATAAAATCTACTTGCAAGTCTGTGCTCCTAACCACTAATCCCATGGACTTAAGAGGAGCAATTTTCATCTCATGGCACATAAGCTAATTACTAAAATTCTGCAGCACACCAAAAAAAATTTTTTTTGCTGATCTGACCAAGAAAATAAGTATAATTTTGATTCAGTCACACTGGACAGCTAGTGTTGTGTTGGCTGCTGCGATTTTTTTATTTGCCAGTCCAAGGGAAAAGAGGCCAGTGCCCCTACTAAACAGTCAGGTGTTACATGTTTTAAAATTCTTGCGGCACTGGTGGGAAATCGCTGGCTTAGAGTGAACGCTGGAAGAAGACCAAGTTTTGAATTTTCATTCTTTTATTTGCATCTTCTCTCATATTGGTTTTATCCATCTTACTGGTGGTTTCAAAAGAATGTACTTAGGGTTTAGTCTGGTCTTAAAAATGTTTGGTGATTTCTGCCCTTTGTTCTGTGTCCTGTTCACGCAGCTGGCAGTTTCTCTCGGCTCGCCTGGCTTTTCCGGCATGTTTCATATCATCTTCATGGGCACTAACCCTCCGCGCCACCTTGTTCCTTTTCTTCAGTTTGCAACATTCCCCTCACTTTTGTCTTAAGACTTTTCTCTTATACTGGACTCAGCAATCATTTTCTGTTGTTAGACGTATCCACCAGTGCCTCTTCCCCACAAAACCTGCTCTGCGCTCATTTTTAAGTCAGTGAGAGAGGTGGTTGTGAGAGCAGGACAACCCTAAACTTGACTTAGAACTCTGCCACTTACTGGTGTGTGATCTGGGTAAACTGAAGCAACAAGATACATCTCTGCTTACTAGGCTTATTCCAAATTTGATTAACATCTGTTTCAAAAATGGAACAGACATCCTATAGACAAACTTAAAATGAACTGTCCGGTTAAAACTGGTATCACTTTATTTGTAAACCAAGGTTGTGGTTTTAGATTTAACACAGTATGTCTCTGTCATCTCTAAGACTTGTCTGGATGACAAAGCATGCCTCTCCCAGAAAGGGAAATACCTTCTGCCTTCCCTTAAATGCTTCAGTATCTGCTGTAACAATTCTATCGGGGGACCTTCTGTGCAAAAACTTACCAGCTCTGTCAACTGTTACTCTAAGGACTCTGATCTACTTTTCTGATCAGAGCAGGAATTTGCCAGCATCAGGTAAAAAACACATTGAGAGCGTATATGAAAGAGGTGTGTTATTTTTAAACAAATTTGGGCACTGTTGATACTCATAGAAATTTTGAAAATCCATCATTTGAAATATCTAATTTAAAAATCAGAAAGTGTAGGAAGCATCTGAGATCTTGCTCCTCAGCTTATATCCATTAGTTTGGCTCAAACTCTTATAAAAATTCAAAAAAAAAAAAGTATTATTCTTTGTACCATGTTTTGTTATTTACCATTTTCAAAACTGCCAATTTCAACTTTTACCATACTCACCTGCTCTTACTATGGGAAGAAGAAGAATATTTGAAAGGGTTCTTCCTTAGAGGGTCCAAGGCGCTGTGGGACATCCAGTCATGGTGATTTGTTGTTGTTTTTTCATGGTTGTACAGGGTGGGGCTAAAGTAGGTTTACAGTTTATTTTTAAATAATGTTAAGAATAAACTTTCATGTATTCACCACTGTAGACCTACTTTTGCCCACTGTATTTTGAATGGCTCCAGGAGAGAGAACAGGCCCATGTTGTGAAACTTAAATTCTGAGCATGTAGCCTTTAGATGCAGCAATTTCTTCTGAAGTCTAAATGTAAATTGGGAAGGACTGGTCTGCAGTGGTTCTCAAAGTGTGGTTCCTGGAGCAGCAGTATCACCAGGAACTTAAAAGAAGGTTGTCATCTGGCCCCTTCCCAGAACTTCTTCTGAATCTGAAACTCTGCCTATTTTCACACACCCTCCAGCAGATTCTGTTGCATTCTGACTTGGAGAATCACTTGGTTTTTTGTTGTTTTTTGAAGAGAACATATTTACATCCCCCAACCCCCAGATCTCCACATATTGTGATAATGTGTAGAATCACTGTGGACATGAACCACTGTTACTGTGGGGAGTAATGGGCTAGAAAAGGTTTAGTATCTAAGGTAAGGTATGCCAAAGAACTCATAAGTAATAGTTTCCCCATGGTCACCAAGCCCTGCACCAAACGGGGCAGGACTTCCAGTAAGGTGGGAAGTGAGCATCATTAATTATTCAGATACTTNCTTCCTCGGGAGGTCACCAAGCCCTGCACCAAACGGGGCAGGACTTCCAGTAAGGTGGGAAGTGAGCATCATTAATTATTCAGATACTTACTGAACGCTACAGAGGCCCTGTGTTAAGAGTCTAGGGTTAGAGCAGTATTACAGCCCCTGCCGACATGGAGCGTGTGGTGCACAGGCCCACGCAGCTCCCTTCTGCTCTAAGCCGAGAATGCTGCTGCTCCGACCTGCAGACTTTCGGGAAGAAAGGTCTTTGAGCTTTCCATCAAAAGACTGCTCATCTGACATTTTACTGAAACTACATTTTGCTCTCTTTTTACTAGTTTTTGTTTCCCTGCCTGAGTTAAAATGGCTATGAACCAACATGTTGGCTGTGCAGAGCCATAGCTCAGTTTCTTGTAATGGGAAGAAGGGCCAGGAAGAGAAACCGCATTACTCCAGGGATGCAGTGACATCGTGACACCCTACCTCCATCCTGCTACGAAACCAGAGAAGCAAGATAGCAATCAAAACCTCCATAGCTCCACCGTTCTCCAGACAGGACCCGAAATCCCACCGTGTACAGCTCCTTGCACAGAGGAGGTAAATATTAACCCTGACAAGCAAACTGACCAACTCAAAAAAGCATGGAGACCTGATCTTTTTAACACTTAAGTTTCTTAGGCATTTCTTGACAAATGCTTAGGCATCCATTCAGTTAGTCAATGATAATTACTGAGCATCATTTGTGTGCCAAGCAATGTGCTAGATGCTGGTGGCCCACAGTGAACAAGATGCAGTTCTGACCTCTTGAGAGCCCACAGTCTATCATGATACAAAATCGTGCATGCTAGATGCAATAGGATCAAAACAACAACTAGCATCAGGTGAGCCACGCGGG